CATAAAGTTCTTAAAATAACTCCAGCACAGAGAAAGTAGCACAAAAATAAAATCATGACAGTTTGGAAGATTATTAAAACATTTCCAGCTGACAAGAGCTGCAGATCATCTGCAGCATGACGTCTGTGTCCGCCTGAGCGTCGGAGGAACGTGATGTTTAGGGCTTTATTACCTGCTGTAATCAGCTGTTCAGCTGGTTTTGAAGAGGAGGAGACAGACTTCGTCTCCTTGTAGAAACTTCCTGACTGATGAAAACTTAAAAACAACAACTCTGGACCCAGTAGCAACTCCATCAGCTGTTCGCTGTAAACACACCCAGGCAGGCTGCTATTTACATTTAATGCCAACGATTGATCTCAGGCAGACAGTGGCGAGACATGTGTGCTATTTGACTGCTGATTGTGATTTATTGGTTTGAAAATAAAGGTGGAAAGGACAGGAGCAGTAGCAGACAAACAGCCGACATTCTCCAATTAAAGCCAGTAGCCTCTACTCGCCCATTCAAATTCACTGCAAGACAAGCCCCGCCCCTCCTCCCAAAGTACCCGGTACTTTCGGAAAGTACTACCCCCAAGCAGGGTCTTTTTAGGGGGTAAAATGAAGACCTCAGAACTACATTAAGATCCTAGTCCCTCTGGTGGGAATGCAGTGAGTTCCTCAAAAGGTTCCTAGTTCCGGGGTTTAGTTCCTTTGGTCGAAACGCAGCTTTATATGTCCAAAAGAAGATAAAATTAAGATCTAAATCGTTTAGACTGTTCGGTGTAGCTTTTTCACACTTAAACAGCATGCAAAGACTTTGCTGGCAGTATGAATTCGTCTTAGTTGAATTGAAGTTTATGTACTACGACAGGGTTTCCCATCCCTCTCCTGGAGAAAGTTTCTCTCTGTCCTGCATGATTTAATCTCTCCCTGCTTCAACACAGCTGATTGAAGCAGCTTCAGGATTCATAAAGAGTTGATTGTCTGAATCAGCTGTTTTGGAGCAGTGAGATATAGTATAACAGTTTACATTATCCACAGAAAGAAAGTACTCCTACACTGAAAAGAATCATAGACCCATTTAGTCATGTCAACTTACTTCTTCTTTTTAACTCAAATAGCTCTGACAAGTTTTGGATTTTGGATTTGATTGATCTACTATGAGTTTTAGAAAGTTAAACTTATTCATTCATTCATTGTGTTGACTATTTGACACTTTTGTCGTGTTGATTGAACTTACGTATGTAAGTTATCAGTTGAAAAAAAAGGCGAGAGTATGAGGATTGCCTAGGTGCTGCGTCTTTTGAGTTTGAGAAAAACATATACATAATCAACTAATTATTAGGGTTTAGCAAGTACTCAGTTAAAACGAGTATCCGGTACAGATACTTTCAATGAATATCATCAGAGTAAAATGTGTCAATATCTGTTTTGTTATAAACTATAAATATATGAATATAAAAAAATTAATTACTATTCTCTGAAGCTCAATTCTGAGGCTGTTCTGTAAATGGGTTTTCTAATAAATATAGCAAGTTCTGATAGAAATTTCAGGCTTAAATAACTTCCAGTTAATACCACCCACTTATAGATTAAGCCCCGCCAATTCTGAGTACAGATACAGAAAATTTGGTGTTCTTGCTCACCCCTGCTAATTATACACTGCAGATAAGTCATATATTCAAATTCCAACCAAAATATAGACACTTCTGTGGTAAACAAGACTATTGCCACCGGTGGAAAGGGTTCCAGACAACGGCCTTAAGGCCCTTTCAGAAAGGAGGTGACATCTGCTGCTATTTTGAACTTTGACTGCGGCGTGCACAGGCACACCAGCAAGCTACCCTGCCCCGTCACAAGTCGTTGACGATAATAGCACAGTGGTGCTGTTGTTGTGAAAAGCAAGTGAAAGCAAGTTTCCTTGAATGGACAATGTAATATAGATAGTTGTTTTAACTCACAGTATTAATTTTAAACAACAAATTATCATTAATTTAAACAAATTGTATAACGTAACATCATGAGTTGAAACAAAGCTTTTCTTAAAGTTGAGTTTACTCACATTTTTAAGGCAGCAATTGAACTTAAGTTTTTAAGTTGAACCACCTAGATAATTTTTACAGTGTATCTTCGGGGCTCACCACAGCCACTGTTGGCATATGCTAATTTGCGTGATTTAGATTTTCAAAAATTAATAGTGGTTTTGATATTTTGATGGACCATGCCAAGACCCATGCATTCAGACTTTTTAAAAAATGTTTTTCATAATGCAAATCAGTCACTGCTGCCAACTCCTTTTCTAACTGTGTAATCTGTGTGTATACAGTGAAAAAAGTCAGCTCTCCGTTGGCTCTGTTCTGTCTGGTCCTCTCCAAACAACGCTCTGAAGCCGTCGGCGACATCCGGACAATTTCACCTTTGATAGGCTTTGGCAACGTAGTGTCATACGAAATTGTTTGCAGAATGTTGCAACAAAAGCATATATCCTCAGTGTTTTCTAGTGTCTATTTTGGGGATTTAGTGAAAACCAGTAACTACAGTTGCCACCTGTTAACAACCTGGCCACTACCTGTAAGAAATGTCAGATTTTCACTGCACTAAATTGTTTTCTACGGTAAACATGCTGAATAGATGTTGTGGTGTTCAAACAATAATGCTGCGATGATGTGTTGAGAAGAAATCCGCTTGTCACTGTTCCTGATCATAAAAGTTTATTACATCAAGGAATTCAGCATCAATTACAAGCTCTGCAGCAGCTTGGAGAGTGACCCAGCCCGATAACCACTCTGTCTCTCTGTACATCAAACACAGCTTATATAGGACATGTTTAGGTATCTGCTAAATACCATATAAGGGTCAGAGTCTGCAATCTAAAGCTCCAATCCATATAAGGGCACAGTGCTGTAGGATAAGTGTAAACATAATTTTTTGATATCTTTAAAACAATGAAATTTGCTGGCATTCAGTTTTTTCTGCCAGTATGTAGCCAGCTGCTTGCAGTTTAAGAACACCATGTAAAGTTGAAATGCTTTAAAGCATGTACATGCAAAAATGCATGGCCCTTGAGAATGTCTGCATCTTAATGTTTTTACTGCTTACTGTATTCCATTATATTCTATATGCCCCAAAGATTTACAGTTTCAAATATTCTTTACAGAGAGTGTTCAGAGGACAACTGCAGAAACGGAGGCAAGCATTGCAGTGGCTGTCGCCTTCTTTTTGAAATATGCCTCAGACAGGGTGTTCGGAGGTGGAAGAAAAAAGTTTAAATCTTTTTAGTTCATAAGTGGGGTCTGACACAGTTTGTTAAATTTTGTTAAAAATGTAGTTTTCATTCATTTTTCAAACATTATACCTGCTAAACACCAGCATGTTAGCATTGACATTTTTTGAGAGTATTTGAAGTATTTTTTTAGGTTTGGATTGGCGTTAGGGCTGTGCTTGATTCTCAACAACTTAACAATTTTGCTGTTGGGCTATCTACAATTGTGTATATTGAATCACGTTCATCAGTTAGGTTACAGATAGAAGATATGTAAATCTGTACTTAAAATCTCAGTCATTATTCTCTGTTCCCAAAATGTCTCCCTGGGCACTCAAAGGAATTTGAGAAATTTGCTAAGCTGTTATTAACCTGAAGCCCTCAAACTCACCCTCAATTCTGTCCCAATTAAATATCTTTCCATGTTGCCATTGAAAGGATATTCTATTCCAGTAAAAGGAAATTAAAACCAAAAGTTTTACAATAAAGAGATTTATTTTCTTAACTCAATGAATGTCTTTGTCTCTGGTCGTGTCTTAAAATGTGGGTCTGTCCAACTTTTGATCTTGACATCTGTCTAACCTTAGTATAACATCATCCCAATTTCTCAGTATGTAGATTTTTCATTTACAATAAAAACAAAGCTCTGTAAAAGTTTGATGTCATGCCAACAAAATCCAAACTAACTCTTAAATTTCTTTTTTTTTGTCCAATGTCTGTCCTATGTTTGTGGTTGATGTCAACCCAACGTTGGGTTTTGACGCCAACACAATTTTCATTTCTGACTAAAATCAAACGTCTGTGCAATGTGAGTTTGACGTTGGACTGGCGTCCGGTGCCTGCTGGGTTGCTGAACTTAAGCTACATTTACTTGAGCTAAAGGAGAGGGGATTTTTTAGTTAGCTATGGAAAAACACTAGTGTTGACAATGTGAATGCCGTTAATATTGCCTATCTCTAGTAGCCTATTTCAAAACAATATCAGTTCCCACATAATGTTGTCAGTAAAAACTAAATGTCATAATGTCCCTGTTAATACTGTTGTATATCCTTCCATTCATTGACCAGATGGATATTGAAGATATTTTAGGAGAGAAAAAGAAGCGGGAGATTGGCAGGGCAGCTGATTCTAAGGTCAGTCTGGGTGTACAGGTCAGTAGCGGTCTACAAGTCTAAGGTAATGTGGGCTGTTTGGTTTTCAACAGACATTTGTTGGCAGGTCTAGGCACCAAGACAGAGCCTAAACTAAATTATTTCATGATATTTATTATATTTGCTATATTCTGTCCAACTTAACTTTCTGCATTTATCAAATTTAAGGTATGGGGTCAACCAATCCTGCTTTGTGACAACCTTAGATGGAGGTTATCAGGGGGACATGCAGTACATTCTGAGTTAAAGATGCTGCAAGGACAATGACACAACCATTTAAAAAACAACAATGACCTTATTAACTCTGAATGATCTTGACAATTTGGAGAGATAAAGGTATGGATTATCCAGTCCTGTTCACTACTGCTGTAGCCTATAGGCCTATTTAAAACCCATCTACAAAATAAGAAATATGTGCCACCCAGCCTTGCTCAGATGTTGGCTATGTGGTTACAGTAATTCAATAATAAAATTAATAATTTTATTCAATTAACGTAGGCCTATTTTAAAAATCTAGAGCAAGAAATCAAATCTGCGCATTCTCCAGTAGGCTGCGCTGTGCCCGCGCACGCCTGCGCGCAACCGGCCTCGTCGTGAGCGCGCGGCCGCAGAAGCGAAGAAGAGAGCGGACCGTTCAGTCAGCGGCGCGTCAGTCTGCGAGCGGCTCTGCTGGTGTGGGTGATATTGAGGAGGACGGACTTTTTCACCGGGATATTCTGCAGCATGACAGGGTGAGTCCCGCGGGTAGAGCGGCAGTCCCTGCTGGGATACGTGGGGAAAGTTAGAGGTGTATGGACAAATGCGGTGTGAATGCGGGGAATGGTTTTCCACAGCCGCTGTTTTTTATCTGAAAGACAGAGTGGGACTAGGTGGGTGACCTGAGCCATGGAACATCTGGTATAATATGACTGTTGGTGCTGTGCGGCTCCACGCAGCGTTGACTGAACTGCAGTTGAGCGGTTACTGCTGATGGACAGCGGGCTGCAGGGCTCCAGCTTCAGCTGCATGGGACAGCTGAGAGTCCGGCCCCCTCTGTAGCCATCCGCACCTAATCGCTGTGTAGCTGTCAGTGCTTTCTCCTCGCTTTGCAACCTGCATTTGGTACTACATAGAATTTGGTTTTTAGTAGACCTAGCTGTGCATTAGTAACGTTTAGCTTCCATGTCATAGATGTATTATGGAGGCAGGTGCAACTCTGTAATATCGATTATGCAGCAGATAGTCTGCAGCAACTTCACTATCTGCTGCTGACGAAAAAGCCTCATAAAGCAGGCCCTCTCTGCGCCTGTATGCTAATTTCTAAATCTCAACACTGTGGCCTACAGTAGGCCTAGCTACTGCCACAGCTGGAATGCTCTGCAGTGAAATAAAGAAATCAGAATTACATTTACATTTCATCAGCTGGAAGCCTGAAAACACTGAAAGCAGTGCCAACATGTTAGTGTGTGCGTTGCTGCAGACAGCGGGTGGAAGCAACAACTGAGGCTGGTCTGAAGTGTCCCACGGGCATTCTGTGAAAACAAGTGTGCATGTTCTACGTGTGTGTGTGTGTGTGTGTGTGTGTGTGTGTGTAAAAAGGGAGGCTAGGAGGGTGGAGCTTCATTTTTATTGAGAGCTTTCTGCAGAAGTCACCAGGATGCAGGAGACATGCAGGAGATGATTTGAGATGAGACTGAAGGGGACATTCCGTCTACCCCCTGGCTGTGCATACCTGTTTAAGACATGCACACACATGCACAAGCTCACACACACCTGTGCACTATATGTCTGCTAGTGTGTGTGTGTGTGTGTGTGTGTGTGTGTGTGTGTGTGTGCGTGCGTGTGTGCGCGCGCGTGTGCGCGTGGCTGCTTCCTCCTCTCACTTTTCTCCAGCAGGCAAGCAGCCAAACAACCACACAGCTGTCTATTCACTTGCTGTACTGGCAGCTCCTCCTCCTCACCTCTTTCCCCAACACCTCCTCCTCTTCATCCTCCTCATCACCTCTTACACCTCCTTCATCACCTCCTTCTCTTTCACCTGTTTTGCACAGGCTGATTGGAACTCAACCCAGCAGACTGACACGCTATGTGCATTACTACTTAGACAGGTACTAAAGAAATTGCAAAAAAACATTTAGCCTGTGTTTTCCTGTATGTATGCCTTTAAACAAAACCATTGTCTATTTTAACATGCGTAGAAATAGAATTTGATTTCTGGACCAACAACAGCTGGCTACAGTGAAGCAAGCAGCAAAAGTCATGTTTCAGGTGTCCATGCCGTAAATATGAACTGAATGTGATTAAAAAAACTTTCACGCGCGCCTCCTTGTCACTGAAAATATCCAAAAACCTACACCTCTTCAGAGCTTTTGCTATTAACTAATTGAGGCCATTTATATGGTGTAAATACAAGGCTAGCAACATGGCTATCCATCTTGGAATAATGTATGAAACGCCACCAAGTCAGAATAACAAGAGGTTTGTCTGTTCATCTTTCTCTGCCAACATTACTCGCAGCATTAGCATTTCTAGCTAACAAGATACAAGAGGTATGTCAAACTTTTGATTTGTTAATGAGCTTTAGAGTGGTTTTATTGTATTTCTTTTTGTATTTTTTCCAACTTGGAGTTATGCTGTTTCCCCCTGCTTCGAACCCAGTTAAGTTAGGCTGAACATGCTAAACCTATTTCTGTGGAGTGCTTGGCTGCACAACATGAGGACCCACTGTTGAATCTGGCAAGACTGAAGAGGCCAGCTTCAGTCAATTTGCCAATACTGGCACTTTGTCTGATAGATTTTACAGTATGTGTGGTTGCATGTATTCTTTCTGCTGCATCACTGCAGATGCGTGAGATTTTGCAGAGGAGCTGGTGTACCGGTGCTGCCTGCAGTGGCTGACCTCCACACTGACCTCCACATGGAGGAGGAGGAGGAGATGGAGCCCTCCCTCCATTCGTTTTGTTCTCCTTCTCCCTGAGCGCCTTGCTCCACAGGCTGCCTGCTTAAAAATGGCATCCTGCAATCCCCTCCTCCTCCACCCTCCCCCTCGCCTTTCCTTCATCTCTGGGGTCCCGAGGGCTTTGTGAGACTCTGTTCGTGCCAAATGCCAGCACTCTGCCCAGCCCCCTCCCTCCTTCCATCTCTCTGTGTGTATGATAGAAAGAGAGAAGGAGCGAGTTGGGGGATTTCTTTTGGCCCCTCTTCATCCAGGCTGGGGGGTTGCTTGTTGTTTACTGGTGCTTCGTCTCTACTGTTTGTTGGCTGGTGCGTGGTGTGTGTACAGAGTGAACAGACCTGCTATTGTTCTCAGTGACTGCTGGAATGCTGTTGAATGGTGGTTGTGTCAGCCCAGATGCCCAGCAGTATTGTCTGTCTTTGTCTTTTTGATCTGTGTAAGGAGACAGCGTGGTCTCACTCTCAACCAGCCTTTCTGCTCACCCCTCTGAACACACTGTCTGCATGTGGAATATCTAATAATCTAGATCTGACAATGTCAAGGTGCTGTATCAGTTTACCATCAAAAAATCATGTCAACCTTCATTTTGAATCATTAGCAGTAGGTCTTTGTCTTGAATACCGCTGCCAGCAGGCTCTGTCGGTCACCACTCATTGTCCAGAGTGTGCAAGCAGGTCAGATTTGGAGGGAAATCTACTTTTTACTGCATGGCTGTATGGCACAACACAGCAAGTGGGTACTGTTGTTCCCAGAGGTGTGGAAATAAGACTTGGCACTTGGGCTGTGGTTGAATAGTTTTTTTTGCTTAGGAAGGTTCTTAACTGAGTGAAATGACCCGGAAGTGTTTGAGTTGCAGCCATGACAAGAGCTGGTCAATTTTCTAAAAGCTAAGGAAAGGTGCTAAGAGTGCTTCCTTTCTTATCTCCTTTAGCATAGGTTACATTGGACCATCCTTTACAAAAGGAAAGGAGATAATGCTTTCCCAGAATTCCTTCCAGCAGCAACATATAAAGCGGCGCAGCATTTTAAGTTCACCACAGCAGACCCACATAAATGTAGAAACAACAGAGCACCTTTTTTATACTACACGATCCAAAACTTCCTCTATGATTAGCTGACCCCAGAAACCATAAATATAGATTTCTTCTTTGTCAAAGCCATCCAGTTAGGAGGAATCTTGAAAAACAAGTATATTGAATTTCTAGTTAACAATATCATCATCATCATAACAAAATCTATACACATAAATGTGGAATGCACTCAATTTGTTTTCTATTTCACAAATGTACAAAAAAGATTTAATGAACGCACCATCCTTGACGTGAATGTGCAACTGCGCAGCAGGTCAGCAGCACTGGACCTTATGTTGTTCAAGTCAGCTGTTAGCCAAGAAGCTAAAGAAAGAATGGAGTACGAGGGAGAGAGGCATTCTTTTGAAAGCTGTAATAGTGTTGTCAAAAATATCGATATATTTTTTGATATATATCGGATTTAATATTCATTTTCCACAGTAACAATCCTGAAAATGCTCTTCTATTCTCAGCAAGCTGATACACACACTGCTGCAGTGCCCTCGAGTGTAACGTTAAGCTGGTAATGATATGGCCACCGGCTACCGACCACCAACGTCGACGGTTTTTAGTCAATTCACTACCTCCATGCTAGTAACGCAGAGTAGCATATTAGCTTGGTAGCCATAGGTGCATGGTTACAGAAATCAGATATATATATATATATATGTATGTATATGTATGTATGTATATATATGTGTGTATATATATATATATATATATATATATATATATATATATATATATATATATATATATATATATATATATATATATATAATGTATATGTATATATATATATATGTGTATATATATATATGTGTATATATATATATATATATATATATATATATATATATATATATATATATATATATATATATATATATATATATATATATAATGTATGTATATATATGTGTGTATATATATATATATATATATATGTGTATATGTATATGTATGTGTATATGTATGTATATGTATGTATATACGTATATATATGTATGTATATACGTATATATATATATATATATGTATATATATGTATATATGTATATACACTACCGTTCAAAAGTTTGGGGTCACCCAAACAATTTTGTGTTTTCCTGAAAAGTCACACTTATTCACCACCATACGTTGTGAAATGAATAGAAAATGGAGTCAAGACATTGACAAGGTTAGAAATAATGATTTGTATTTGAAATAAGATCTTTTTTACATTAAACTTTGCTTTCGTCAAAGAATCCTCCATTTGCAGCAATTACAGCATTGCAGACCTTTGGCATTCTAGCTGTTAATTTGTTGAGGTAATCTGGAGAAATTGCACCCCACGCTTCCAGAAGCAGCTCCCACAAGTTGGATTGGTTGGATGGGCACTTCTTGCGTACCATACGGTCAAGCTGCTCCCACAAGAGCTCAATGGGGTTCAGATCTGGTGACTGCGCTGGCCACTCCATTACCGATAGAATACCAGCTGCCTGCTTCTGCTCTAAATAGTTCTTGCACAATTTGGAGGTGCGTTTAGGGTCATTGTCCTGTTGTAGGATGAAATTGGCTCCAATCAAGCGCTGTCCACTGGGTATGGCATGGCGTTGCAAAATGGAGTGATAGCCTTCCTTATTCAGAATCCCTTTTACCCTGTACAAATCTCCCACCTTACCAGCACCAAAGCAACCCCAGACCATCATATTACCTCCACCATGCTTAACAGATGGCGTCAGGC